AATTACCCACTTCCACATTGTAGGTATGATGCAGTTCTCCTTGTAGGCATTCCTTTATTCACTGCCATATGTGCTGACAGCATGTTTGGCAAAAAATTTTGAACACACCGTATACATACATACAAATATATACAACCCCAATTCCGAAATAGTTGGGACAAAGTGTAAGTTGTGAATAAAATCAAAATGCAATGACTTTCAGATCACATGAGCCAATATGTTATTCACAATAGAACATAGACAATATTTCAAATGTTGAAACTGAGACATTTTACATTTTTATCCACAAAATGAGCATATTTCAAATTTTCTGGCTGCAACAGGTCTCAAAAAACTTGGGACAGAGGCAAAAAAGGGCTGAAAATATTATATATATATATATATATATTTTTTTTTTTTTTTTTTTCCTTCTCAGATTTGGCTAAATGCTTCAAAACTCATGCTATGGTGCACATTGACAATGACATGAAGAACACTTCAAAACCAACGCAACAATCTTGAGAGGCAAAGAAAAGGAATACTCGACAATGACCAAGTCATGCACTTGTCCTGAATCCAAAGGTACAATTTTTTCATCTGCGGAAGGCAAAATGCCCCAAGAAAAAGCAGAAACAACAGGAAAACAGCTACAGTGAAGGCCGGGCAGAGCATCTTCAGGGAGGAAAGTTAAACCAAACTTTTGGGATGTCTATGGATTCTAGACTCCAGGCAGTCATTCACTGAAAAGGATTTGCTACCAAGTATTAAAATTGAAAATTTCATTTATGTTTTTGTTAGTTTATCCAAATACTTTTGAATGCAAAAACTGGGGGGACTAAGTATAAAAATGGTTGTAATTTCAACATGGGAAGTGCAATAATTATGGACAGAAACCTTAAATTAAACCTGCATGTCCACCCTTCAAGCACATTTTGATTCATTTATTTCATATCCATTGTGGAGGCATACAGAGCCAAAATGATGATAATTGTGTCACAGTCCAAATTCTTATGGACCTCACTTTATGTTTTTTCTTTGGGCGTATTCGAATCCAAGACACGAGTCAACACGAGTGCAAGGTGCGGGGTTTTTCGTTCCGAACACGGAAGTGCGAGTTCGGGTGTTCTCCAGTCTCCAACTCAGGCTAGCCCATGGGGCTGCGTATGATGCAGAATAAAATTGAATTGATTTGAATTATTGCGATACCGACGGTTTTTACAAAATTTCAGCAAGATCAACCCTAGTAACCAGGCCTGAAAGTCACTTCATGCTTCTGTACAGTTAATTGCCACTGAAACTACTCATTCTCGTGAATAGAGGGCTATTAACAAGATTAATCAGTGAAATTGATGAAAATTTCACATATGTATCTCCCGCATCCGCCATCATTGTTCTTGACAACACTCGTCCCACTCTCCAAAAAGTGGGGAGTGACAAAAACGCGTTCTCGTGTTGGTTCTCGGCTGTTCGGAACTTGGTTCTGGTGTCGAGTCAACCCGAGTGTCTCCAAGAACAGGGATTCGAATACGCCCTTTATGTCTGAATCTGACATGCATTATTAGCTGTGTTGTTTTTATTCTACAGCCACTTTCCTTCATTTTGTATCAAGGGTGCCCCTGTATGAATGTTGTCTTTATTAGTTTTTTTTTTTTTTGGAATAAATAAATAAATAAATAAATAAATAATATGGTACTGACAATTCTGCACTGTATTTTAGCTCAGACTCCACGTGTACAGCGAGAGGAGAAGAATTGAATATTTCTGTGTTTGGTCAATCCCTCCTCCGTAGTCCCGCGGGCTGTTTTCAGGCTATGTGCGGAATTCTGCTCTGTCAAACGCGGGGTCAGACTCCATCAAGTCATGTGATGGCATGGACACAAGTTTGGCCTTGCGCCGAGAAAACTAGGCTCTCACTGGAACTCAGCCTCCAACTGCACTTCAGGTGTGTTCTTAGCCTGCAAAATTAGGATGCAAAATCTGACAATTTATAGAGCACTGATGCAGGTAAGTTACACAGTACAGTTCTGAATGCTAGACAGTTTTTACAGCTTAATTATCAGTTGAAGAGTTTATTTCCAAAATGCAGTATATCCATTTTACTCATTTTGAGTAAATCGCCTTTTTCTATGCAGGCGCATATTGCTTTTTATAGAAAAGCACAAACTTCGACCATGAAAAAATACACCTTATAGTATGAATTTCTAAAAACAGATTTTTGCACCATGGTAAGTAGCACAGGGCTATCGCTCTATCGTATTATCTCAATTTTTGTAATTTTGGCACTTATTGCATTTTGGAAACAAAGTCTTCAGTTGAAGTTTCTGTATAGACTTATATTCCAAATCCAACCGAAAGCCTGACAGATGCAAAAGTGGCAAGGAAAAGCAAGAGAACCAGCATCCATTGCCTGTCTTTTCAGTGGCTGTGATGAACAGATTGAGAATTTTTCTCAACAAGCCCAGTTTTCCAGGTCCCACTTACAGCATGTAGCCTTCGAATCACACCTTTGCCCTTTGAGGGATAGGTCAATTTGAAGTTTTTTTAATTCTAATATTCAAAGTTCAATAGCCAGTGTTTTAAAACTCCATTGCTTTCATTGTGACAGTTACGTCAGCAATAGAATGTTCTGATGGGAAAATTCAAATTACCTATTTGTGATCTAACTCCTGTAATGCTTAGAGGCTTATCAAATTCAATTCAGGGAAAGCATAAATACTACAGCCAGAAAGATGCGTAGATTAACAGGGAATGTGATTTGGAGTTACCATGCCCTGGAGCCTTAGTTTGTGCCGAATAGTTAGTTAAGGAGACTGTCCGAGCCAGGAGAGTCAGGGATGGACAGACTACACTCACACTGCCATCTGAAAGAAGTGACCTTCAGTCAGTGATTGTGAAATTACTGGTGTGTGCAGGTTAGTGTATGTTTGTGTGTGTGTGTGTGTGTGTGTGTGTGTGTATGTGTCTGTGAGCGGTTGTTTCTGCGTGTGCCTGTGTGTGGCTGTGCGTGTTGCGGGGGTTGGGGGCGTTCCTAGCATACCTTTGTCAAAGCCTGCGGTGAAAGTGGACAGGTGTGTGTGTGTGTGCGCGTGTGTGTGTGTGAGTGTGTGTATTTGAGGTGAGGGAATGCGAGCAGAGTCTCAAACTCATCACCTCAGAGTGCTTTTTCTGTAAGGAAAGGCAGAGGGGGAGAGGGAGACGAGTTTGTGCACGCTGTCTCTCACTGCCACGCGCCCCTCTCCTGCCCAGTCATGCAGTCCTTCCTCTCTTCTTCTTCTCCTCCCCTCTCAGGTGAGCCTCAGTGCCAGCTGTGAAGCCAGTTTGTGTAATAAATGAAAGCCCTTGCATATCCCCTCATGTTAAATCTCTCATCTTCAAACCCATGCCATTATATGGTGACATCACAGTCAGAGTTCCTCACATGATGTGTATCAACAAGTTGACTTGCAAGAGCTCATCAGTGGCAGTTGTTTTCCTATGCCACGCAAAAATTCTGCCTTAAGGCATTTGATGAGACTTAAAATCTTATTGTTCTCCTTTCACGTGGAAAATATTGGTTTGTTGTAATTCACTGTTTGCTGGACTAGTTACATTTCCGTGCCTCGTGTGCAAATACTGAATTTACTCAAACAGCCTAACCTCACACCTCATTGGGAGATTTTTTTTTGTTCAACAAAGTTATAGAAATTTTAATTTAAAGTACAAGGCAAAATATTTGCTGAGACTGACTTATTTTTGTTTTTGTGCAATATGTAAATCTCTACATATTCCACAGACACAATTCTTCGCATTCAATTATTTTCAAACCATCAGAATTTTTTTAATGCTATTTATAATCCTAGTTCAAAAGTCTTGATCATAATAGAGTAGAACTCATGATGCAAAATGAATGCAAGGCAAAGAACTGCAAGGTTGCATGGCATCGGGTTGTGTTATCGATGTCTGTTTTCAAAACTCCTGCCTAACATTGAATCCAGAGCTCAGATATGTATATCTCCAGGAGCAGCTCTATTTAAACCAATCCTGTGCGCAATGTCATACATTAGGCTCAATAAGCTCCAAATTCCCACATCCATCCAGACCCACCACCCACACATCTGGGGAGTGCTCCACCTCTTGGCCCCAACTTGTTGCCCATGCATGCTGGGTAATTGTGCTTCCTGGCAACAACTGAGCTCACTTTCTGCACTATATTTGCATGATAGTTCTAATCTACATTGGTACTGCCCTCTGAAGCAGCTGATCTTCTGGCTTTAGTTCATTGACGGTACGTTTGTTTTCAAACGGCTAATTCTCAAACCTTGTAGTTCCTACCCACGAGACGTGCAGCCATCTTTGAAGGAAGATTCTTGCTTAAAAACTGAAACTCCTTTCTGTGAACATATAGGTTTAAATTTTGCCTACAGATATCAAACATTAACTTTCAGCTCTGAAAGTCACAGAATAAAGTTGTGAGAGCTGTCATTCTCGTGTGTGTGTGTGTTTGTGTGTGTGTGTGCGTGTTTGTGTTTGTGTTTTAGTTTTTTAACCAATTTGCAGCGTTATTGACTTGGACCAATAAAATTATTGGTAAGCACTGTTTTTTTTTTTTTTTACTTGGGCTACCTGTAAGGTAGCTCAAGTCTAGGACTACTGTTATCTATCTATCTATCTATCTATTGATTGTCTTTGTAGAGAATTGGGGTACCACAACATGAAAACGAGACTACGCACGACGTGAGATCATGTGACTGAGTTGGGTAGCCTGAGTGAACGCCAACTCTGCATCTAGTTTTTGTAAGTGTAACGTGCAATTGTAGCCATCCTTTATTATTTGTGCTTGGTAAAGGGTTAAAGTAAAGTAAAGTTTGTCGACCGAAGTCGAGGGCAACGGAAAGGCTTCTTTTTCTTAGGTTTCTACCACAACGGTACGGGTGGGTACCACTCCTATCCAACTTTACCCCAGCAATGCTGGTACCCATTTATACACCTGGGTGAAGAGAGGCACTGAGAATAAAGTGTCTTGCCAAAGGACACAATGTGATTGCCCGGCCCGGGAATCGAACCCAGGCCAGTTGACCCAGAGTCCCATCCACTATCCACTAGACCATCAGGCTTCACGAAAAGGTTAAACATTGTTTAACCATGATTTGTAAATGTGCTACACAATTTTTGTGTAAGATTTTCTCTTTTTTTATTTGGCAATGAAAGATAAAAAAGGAAACGTGACAGCCGCTGTATCATAAAGGCAGCGTAGACAGTGCATTGAAGGGAAGGCAGCGTAGACAGTGCATTGAAGGGAAGGCAGCGCAGACAGTGCATTGAAGGGAAGGCAGCGTAGACAGTGCATTGAAGGGAAGGCAGCGTAGACAGTGCATTGAAGGGAAGGCAGCGTAGACAGTGCATTGAAGGGAAGGCAGCGTAGACAGTGCATTGAAGGGAAGGCTGCGTGGGAGAGGATGGGGCTGGTGGAATGTTTGTATCGGGTGCAGGGGAAAGCTCTTCTCTGTGTGCACAGGAGATGTGGAATGCAAACTTCACAGGAAGGAGAGGAAGAAAAACAGGTCAGGAAATGTTTTAGAAGAAAGTGTTGAGAGAGGGAGGGAAGGAGGGAGAGGTGAAAATGAGGAAGCAGAGGAAGAGAAGAAGGAAGGGACAGAGAGAAGCGAGGTGCCGATGGATGGCGGAGGGGAGGGGAGGAAAAGGTTTGAATGTTTGAGCTGCTAATTTAAAACAATTGGTCCTACATGTTAATTATCTCTTTCATCCACCAGCTGTAATGACTGTAATTAGCACCACCCTAACCCCACTGCCCAGCCTCCCTACTTTAACTAGCATGTGGAGGGGAAATCTACATCCACCCCCGCCCGCCCCTTGCCGTCTGCCATTCCCGCTATACCCGTACACCCTTGTCTTCCCAAAGCACATAGCCTCCTCTAGAATTTGTGCCACCCTTGGTAATTTGCAGTGTCTAGGTATTGTTTGTGAAGAGGGCCATTGCAAGAAATTCTTGTTTCTCTGAAAGTATGTTTCCGGGGCTTCCATCCTATTGGATTGAAATGTGGGCCCTTTACAGTGGAGTCTTCCGGTGTGGAGTTTGGATACTCTCTCCTGGTTTGTGTTGGTATTCTCAGGGGTTTTTTTTTTCTTCTCAAAGTTATCTCCTGAAGTCTTGGCAATATGGATGAAAGAGTAAATGCTGTGTGACTGGATTGGCAAACTCTCCTGGATGCGTTCCTGCCTCTTGCCCACTGAATGATGGTAAAGCCATCAGGTAGCGTTTTCAAAAATTCATGTGTACCCTTTTGTGCCAATTGTGCCTTCACAGATGTGCATGTTGCCCATGCCATGAGCACTAATGCAGCCCCAGAACATGACAGACACTGACTTTTGAACATGTCATTAGTAACAGTGGTGATGGTCCTTCACCTCTTTGTCTCTATGACCAGGATGTAAATTATTTCCAAATAAGTTTCAAAGATGAACTTGTCAAACCACAGAACTGCTTTCCAATTCACATCAGTCCATTTCAGTTGAGCTTGAGCCCAGAGAAGTTGGCTGTGCGTCTGGATAGTTTTGACGTATGGCTTCTACTTTGCATAAGACAGTTTTAACTTGCATTTGATGATAACATGACAGGCTGCATTCACAGGTTGCAAGCATTTGTGAAACTGTGTGGTAAAGTCCATTAAAAACACATGTTCGTTTTAAATGCAGCGCTGTCTGAGGGCTCGAAGGTCCAGTATTGGTATTCTGCCTAGCCTTTTATACTTGGAGAGTGCTCCAGTTAAGTGCTCAAAAGTGCTAAAAGTTGTAAAATGTCCATTTGGATAAAATTGAGAAAATGGACTTGGGGAACTACAAATGTTGTTTCACCATTCTTTCTTTGCTGCATGTAAAAATGTGGCTTAAGTACTTTTAGCACTCTTTTCACTATGTGATAGACTGCCTATGGTGAAATCCCTAAATTTTGCGCAATTGTGAATTTAAAAAAGGGACTACAAACTGGTCACTCAATCAATTTTAACTTTTATAAGAGACTTCCATAATCCTGAATTCATCGGTCATAATTTAAGTAGTAGCTTATAAGTTATTTGCTATTGATTTTCATTACTTTTTCTACATAGCTTGTCACTTGGGTTTCAGGGAGCCCTGGTCTTACTATTCCCTTCCACACCTACCAGTGGTTAAGGTCTAATTACACCCCGCCTGCAATGGACTTTCATGAGTAATGGAGCAAATTCAACAGCAAAGCTGAAGGTTTATGCATGCAAGAAAACATTACAATGAAATTGTTCTAAGCAAGCTGCCAAGTGTAAATGCAGGAATTAATATCAATGCTATATCTTTCAATGTTTGCCTATCAAGTCACCTCTGTTTGCTCCATTGAGGGCTTTGCAGTTGTAGATTGCAGATAGGTAGATTGCAGTTAACAGATAACTAACTTTAAATATTGTCTTTGAGTTGTAAGTGTTGATTTGTCCAGAGCATAAGTGACAAATCCAATATTAAAGGTCTCATGTAATCAAAATTATCTGTTCATTTTTACATGGGAATATGTATACTGATTGATATTTTTTGCATGTTACATCTGTGGATCACTACTTCAAGAAATAAATGGAAATTTCTATCCAGTTTGTGTCTACTTTTTAACTTTCTAAGCCCCACCCCTTAAAAAGTTCACTTACCACAAGTCTGAGTTTTGTGACCGTATATGTCATCTCAGATCGGGAAGTTTACTAGTGCGAAGTCAGCAAATCAAAAAAAAGGGTTACAGGACTTTTCGTCCCCAGACATTTTGTCCCTGAATTTTTTATTCCCGGACTTTCCGTCCCCAGACTTTTCGTCCCCATTGACTTTTTGTCCCCAGACTCTTTGTCCCCGAGGACTTTTCGTCTCTGGACTTTTTGTCCCCAGATTTTTCGTCCCCTAATGATAAAAAAAAGTGCCACCATTGTTGACAGACGGATGGATGAACAGAAGACAGACAGATCACCAAGATATAAGGGTTAGGGTTAGGGATATAATGCAGGAAGAGGGAAAATCAATATTGGAGATGAACCATCCAGGAACGAAGAGTCTGAGGATGAAAGGTTCATCGGGACAAAAAGTCCGGGGATGAAAAGTCCATGGGGACGAAGAGTCTGGGAATGAAAATTCCTAGGGAACAAAAAGACTGGACAAGAAAAAATCGGGGACAAAAAAGAGTCCTAAAACCAAAAAAGCGCAGCTAGATATAGATTTCTTTCTTTTTGATGGAACATAAAAGGTAGCCATTTCATGCTTACTTGCTGCATAGATTATGGTCTGAAACTACCATCCCAATGCTGCATGCTGTATTTACATGTTTGTTTTATGTTACTGGTCAGTGAGAGGCAGTTAGCGAGCATAGCAGTCTACATGTTATAGCTAAGGTACTTGCAACTTTGCAAGTCAAAATATGCACCATCACGTCAGTCAGCAAGAATAAACAATGTCAAACTTCAATAATGTAACCTTGTAAATCGAAGCAAGCTGCAGCCAGCTATACCACAGACATGGCCGTGGTCATACGAGTACTGTACATCAGTGAAGGATGATGAATTGGTGAAGTGCTGAACATCACTTGAAAATAAATATTGGTCTTAAACTGTTTTCAATCATTAATTTATTTTATCAATTCATAAACTTCAAAAACACGCAACATTATCAGATTCGATGAGTTTTCCTCAGCAAACAGGAGGTGTCGGCAGTCGGTAATACTCATACACTCCAGAGCAGGCTGGGATAGTGAAACCTCAAACTGATAAATTATGTCAGAGGAGATGTTTTCCTCCAAATTACCCTTTCATCAGTGCTTATATACACATACGTTCAACATTCTGTGTATAAATGTACATTTTTGTGCATGTTTATGTCACTTTTAAAGTGCATGTGAGAGCGTAGAATTTGGCAAATAAGTGAACCTCAAATCATCTTGCTGGTAAAGAACCCTGCCTTTTGCGCTGCTCATTTTACACCCAATCATAATTACATAACCGATAACCTATTCACCAGTATACCCAAGAATTGTTTCAAATAGGTTGCTGTTTTTGGAAGATTCCAGGACTTTTCCAGTCGATGCATTTCCTTGTCTCAATAGCTTTGGAAGGTATTGCATGAAAGAGAAGATAGGCCCACTTCCCTGGAAGGCTAAACGGTGATGTCTGCCCTCCAAAGACCTCCCATCCTCCGTACCGACATCAAATGCCCCTCAGTTAAACCTCGGTTTACCGGGTATTAGTGTGCCCCATGTACAGACCCTGATGACTATGATGGTAATCGCCCCCCCCCCACTCCCTCCAGGCCCCACACCTAATTGATCGCTGCTCAGTGCCACTGGTCTAGAGTCTACAGAAAATTGCTATTTCATCATCTTCATAAAGATCCCTATGTTAAGAATGACACTGGAGGATAACATTTATCGTCTTTAGCTACCCAGCAACTATCAATGAGGCAATCTAGTCTCCATTTCTCATTCGTTTCGTTGAACCTCATTTGTTGTTGGCTCGATCAGTTACATTATGCATGTGCACTGGACCCATTCATTTATTCCATTTAAGATGAATCCATAAAAGTGTGTGGATTCCAGGCCTCCATCTGGGACTCGTTTTTAATCATGAAAAAAACGTAGACAATGTTTGTTGAGTGGAGCAGTGCAGAAATGGGCAGGGCAGGTGGGTTGATATCATCTCTTTGAATGTCTTCAGGGGCTGTGGAGACTCTGTCAGTGCGTGAAATTATTTCCGCAGGTGTGAGCAGATTTGGTATAAAAGCCTCAGTTGCTGGTCTGTATCAAATATTCATCTTCACGTGTTTACAGCACTTGAACATAGATTCTGTTCAGTAGAACATTTTGACCACAGATCCTCAGGCTATAGTTGAACCATTCTTTGACAAATTTTCACACCCCCAATGACTAATAGCATTTGATTTCTGATTGATTCTCTTTTTATTTTTCTACCTGGCTCAGTGTCTTGACCTGGTTCTCTCCATCCCTCAAACCTTGCTTATCTCCTAATCTCTTTCCAGCCAAAACAATTCCGATGATTAATCTGCGTCTGTGTAACAACACTAAAAAAAAAAAAAAAAAAAAAA